TGATGGCTTACGTCCTCCCTTGCATCTCCTATTCACATTCTCAGGTAAGTAACCCTCCCAAAACAGTGGATGAGATTCAGGTAGATGCTGATAGAAGCACAGCATAGCATTTACAAAATACAGGTTCTTCTCGTTTGTAGGGCGTCGTGTGACATTTGCAATCCTGGCTCCTGAACGATCACTGCAGCTTGATCAAAAGCCATTTTAAAAACGACCGCATTAATACATTTAAAAGATGTTGAACAATCTTACCGTACGCATATTCAGCAAAGACATAAAACGATAGCCTTTACGATCTAAACTCTTGGTCTCCTAATCAGTTTTAAATTGAGGGGAGGGGCAATCAGTTCAAGAGTAGTACGCATTTGTATAATTTACTTGAAGAAATTAAGCAACACCTAGAGCGAATATAAATTAAGCTAGCCTGATTCCCCGGTGAAAACGGTCAATAAACAAGCACGGCCCTTTGTTAGCATCCGAACTGGGTAAATAATAGCAACAACGGTTTTGCAACACTCTGCGAAACATGTGCGTCGAAAGTTGGTAATTTGGAATTGTTATGTTACACATCATATGTCCCTCAAAAAATTTTGCGCAAACGTTTTTTAAACTTTCTCTTGGGAGGATTTCAGCTGCCGAAAGAGATTGAAAACAATTCGAGCGCCGAACTTTGTAGGGCAAACAAAGTTCAGTGAGGTCAAAACAAAATCAAAGTCTTCGTAAGAGAAGTGCAGGCCTTCAATTTTTCAAGCGGGTAGCGGGAAAATGATGCTTCACATGTATAGCTACTGATTCAATCGATTTAAAATTTTCAATTTCGCTATAATTAGCCACATCATTAAATGCTTTTACGTGTAGCTCGAAAGGTCAACGAAGCAAATCAATAACCTGTGTACAGATTTATGCAAGACCCAGATAAGCGAGTAACTTACCAAGCGACCAGGAAAACGATTCCAATGACTAATGCAATCCATAAATGTTCAAATTCTGCAACATTTTTAACAAAATCCATCGTCAGAAAATAGGCTAGCTCGACCAAACCAACTTCACCACAATATGTAGAACGACCCTGCGCTTGGTTATAGAGTTATGCTAATAAGTCTTCCTCGCACTGGGACCACAGGCGTGAGAGCGTGACGTTTTCAAAAACAGCTGTGGGTCACGCGTGCCTAGCTCGCGAGATGGTCTGAAAGAAGCTACTTTGCGAGACCAGAGGTAATTCGCGCGCGATACCTTGAAAAAAGCCGCAAACCAATTTTCCAGTGATAAAATGGATGATCCATCGCAGTCCTCAAAGTAGAGGATATATTCTTTCCGTACGACCGTGCCAGGGGATGTGTGACGGAAGACGCGAGTAAACGTATTTACCCGCGTTGGTATCTGAATGATTATTCTGTCCATTTCATTTCTGTGCGGAAGCAGAGATTCTAGCAAAATATTATTTTGATCCTTTCTCAGCCACCTGTAAGGCTGCTTTAAACACCTGTTGGATTGTCACGCAATATTCACAAGGAAGAACCGCGTGACGAGTGTTTCAATCTGGCCGTAAACCTAAAGTATTTCAAGTTAATTGATTACCTCTTCAAGGCAAATTATTCTTCGAAAATGATTCTGATCTGCGATCGATGACGCTGCTAAGGTATGGAACAGTGAAGTATCGTTGACTATTTTTTGAATAAGTGATTCAAACAGTTGAAGTTGTTTCAGTAGCAGGTACCTTGGCCCAATTCCAAAAGAAAACTATTTGCAAAGCTAAGCGATTTCTAAACACTTACTAATAGCACGGCAAAATATCAAAACCTGTAAACAAGCAAAAAAACTGAATAAAAAATAAGCCTGAAAAATTGAATACTGAATACTAAGAACAAGTCAGCTACCTTTTCTGCGCAAAATGATTTCCTGAACAAAATTGAGTTTACAATACTCGCTGGTAATGCACTTTAAACGTCTTTCACAAACGAACCTATAAATTACTTATTCCGAAGGATAAATAAGACGGCATTAATTTTTAAAAAGCCTCAAAGTTGTAGCGTCTTTCACGTACTTCAAGAAGATCCACGGCAATGGACGCACAAGTTGAAGACGAAACGCCTTCAAAGGGTTGTATTACCGTGTGCTTTGAACGCATATTTCAAAAGTTGATTGAGTGCACACCGAAATACATGTACTTCATCTTGGCATCTGATGGTTGAACTGTAGGAAAATCGCCTTCGTTTTGTTTTTTGTTTAATTTGCGTTCAAAGAAACCTTTGGAACTGTATTCGGCGCTGGCGTCTGAACTGTACAACAAAAATCGCCATCAAAAATGGCCTTACGACTTCACAACACCAGACTAGTTGATGGCGGAATCTGTTGTTTTAATTTTATCTTTGAGGAGTTTTCCAGTATTGGAGAGAAAGTCTACTCAAGGCCCTTCTTTTTTGCCGGATCTCGATGGCGTTTACAAGGTGGAGTGAAAGGAGGACAGTTTGGTGTATTTCTCCGCTGGCTTGGAGGTGGGCAGCATACTGATAAAGTTAAATGCAATATCCGTTTCTCTGTGGAAGTTATCAACAACAGAGACCCTTCAAGCTCTGTACGGGTAGGAAATATGACAGAACCAGATGAGTTCCCAAGAGTAGCCTTCGGCATTGGCTGGAGCAAGTTACTGTCTGTGGAGGAAATCGAGAGGCCCAATTCGGGCTTTCTGGACGATAACTCTTTGTTCCTGGAAGTCAAATGTTGCATGGTGCACTTTTTATTTGAGGATAAGCTGGTGATTAATTTGTCATCTCGTACTAGTTACGTGTCCAGTTCAAAATTTTCTCTGTTCGGCGAAGAATGGTACCTTGTATTGTATCCTAGAGGAGAACCCAAGAGTGACAATTCTGAAAGCCAAAAACAAGAGCACGCTGCCGTGTATCTTCACAGAGAAGAACCAGGCGTGTTAAGATTCAAGGCCACTTACTCCATATTTGTGCGAGGAGGCCGCGAGACGCAAGTCAGTCATCATTTCTGCAACAACAACGCCAGCACAGCATTTGGCATTGAGAAGTTTGCACGCACCAAAGATCTTAAGGCTGTCTCCAAAGGAGGCTTGGTTTCCATTGGGGTCAAAATCACCAGCATCGAGCCTTACTATTACTTTGGGTTTGACACACAGGGTTGGTCGCCTCCCAACAAACTTGGAGAAGGATGTTCTATAAACGACGTGTTCCCTTTGTTGCTAAAGCCGTGCTCGAATGACAAGAAAATGTTGGATTTTAGTCTGATGTTGGACCCTGGGCCAAAATTTGAACATGCAGAACTGGAGGATAGTGCTTACTACATGAAGATCCTTTGGAGTGTCAATGTGGTGTGTGTTAAAGATTTTAACAGAAGTGTAACCGTCAACTCTTGGGATGTCGTTGGTAAGAGCGCTTTCTGTCACAGCCAGGATGAAATGACAATGAATACAACTCTGGAGCTAAACGAGGTACTCTTCTATTCATTTAATAATCATAAATGTTTAAGCCACCCTACCTTGTACTCCTTCTACAAATCGTTTCAGCGGTACTGGACGTTTAGGCATTTCGATTCCAACGTTTCTATTCGTGCCACTTAATCTTGTGCGTATTGGAAACGGTTTCATTCCTTTTATCCCTTATTTGACTTTGATTCATCATAGGAGTAGACTTTTCGCAACCCTCTACTTCACTGCATCTCTGTTACATCTTTTGAGCGTTCTTATAATTAAACTTCATAAAATCAGGAATTTGGGGGGGCGGGGGTCAGTCCAAATTTAGCGAAGAGTACGATCTCTAGACGGTTGAGACATTTTGTTATTGTTTACAGCGAATGGTTCTACCAAGGTATTCAGACAGTTCAGCCCCTTTATCCCCGAAGCAAAATGCAGCGAGACGATTCCATCAAATAAGAAATATAATCCCATCCAAATTAACGATATTGAAACAAAAATGCAATGTACAGTACTACGACAAACAAATCATTGAATGTTTTATTGCTCCTTCCCCTAGGTGTTGAACCCGCATAGCCCCTACTTGGATGACGAGAAGAATTTGGGAGTTCGCCTTGTCATGGCAAATGCAAATGAAGTTTATGATCCACTCCTGATCAACTCTGACAAACACAGCGTGGCAAAGTTGAGAGAAATGAACGCTCAGACAAAAGCTGCTGTGGAAAATTTCTGGTAAGATTAGTGTTGCAGGAAAAGCCTTTACAAAGAGGCAATCGACTTTTTTTCCTCACGAAAACTTGTAAAAAAAAAATTAGAGAATCGCATGTTTTGAAATTTATTTACCTAAAAACAACGCAGCCGTGGTGGAAACGCATAATCAAATAAATATTTAATTGTTTGTCAGTTACGGTATCAGGTGGATTAGATAAAGATCATTACCATCCACTTATTTCATAGGAAGGATCAATTAGACGAAATTTATTCTGAGAAAGATAGAATAATAGCTGACAAAGAAGAAGAAATCGCAGCAAAAGAAGAGGAACTAAACCAAAAAGAGGCTGCTATTCAGGCACTGGAGAACGAGATTACTGAGAGCAATGAGTATCTGGCAGAAATTGAGAGCACTGTTGATGAGGTATGGCAAGCATCTATGCTGTGAGCTAAGGACATCAAAGAAAAATAACAAAAATCCCACTCTTTAGGAGCCCAAAGAATATTCCACTCCACTTCCTACAAAATGTTTAAGGGAAATATTGCTGGTTTATGCTCAAACGAAAACACATGCGAACCCACGCACAGGTAGCATGATCACACAGCCACGGAACAACCTGAAAGATAAG